GTCAGATGGCCCAGTCTGTTCTGATTGGTCTAGTCTGCTCTGATTGGTCAGATGGCCCAGTCTGTTGTCATTGGTCTACTCTGCTCTGTTTGGTCAGATGGCCCAGTCTGTTGTGATTGGTCAGACCCAGTCTGTTGTGATTGGTCTACTCTGCTCTGATTGGTCAGATGGCCCAGTCTGTTGTCATTGGTCTACTCTACTCTGATTGGCCAGATGGCCCAGTCTGTTGTGATTGGTCTACTCTTCTATGATTGGTCAGATGGCCCAGTCTGTTGTGATTGGTCTACTTAGCTCTGATTGGTCAGATGGCCCAGTCTGTTGTGATTGGTCAAACCCAGTCTTTTGTGATTGGTCTACTCTTCTATGATTGGTCAGATGGCCCAGTCTGTTGTCATTGGTCTACTCTACTCTGATTGGTCAGATCATGGCCCAGTCTGTTGTGACTGGTCTACTCTGCTTTGAATGATCAGAAACCAAACAACCATTTCCATGAATGACATATCACAATCAAGTATAATAAAGTCTTTCATAAATAAAGTCTATCATTTAATCTATTGTTTGAATATTCACTCAACTTTTGGAGTAACTTTTAAAATGTGCAGTTTGACAGTTAATAAAATATATTGCTTTATGTTTTCATTTTTCACTGAAGATCTTGTGTTAACCCTTTGGGAAGTTCAAGAACAAATCTGCCTGAATATTATATTAAATAATAACAATAAAATAAATACAACAATTATTATTATTATTGTTACAACTGTCATTGTTTACAACAACAACAGCAATAATAATAACAATAATAATAATAATTTAACCAATTATTATTTCTTTGTAGTTGTAATCAAAAACAAATAAAGCATAATGGTAATTAGACACTCATATATATGTATATATAAATCAGCAATGGCATTTGTAATTAAAATGTAATATCAGCAAGTCATAAATTCACTTATTTAATCATAAACAGTTCGTATTGATTTTACATATCTCTTTTATGCAAGTTTTTTAAATGTTTATTTCAACAGATTGTTCAAGTCTCTAACTTTGGACCTCACTTGTGTTCTTGTGACAGTATAGCAGTAACAAACCTTAGTAATCAAGGGGGCGACAGAGTTACGTTGCAAACGCCTGTTAAAAAGCCGATGCAGTATTATATCAACAGCAGTTTAACTTCAAATAACTTGTACAGTGAGATTTTGGAAGTTCAGAAAAGCTTGAAATTAAGCTTGCATTGCTAAAAGCCCTTATATAGAGCATGTTTCAGGCCTTAGTCAAAGCTACTTGCATTTCAAAATAGAGGTAAACCAGCTCCTCAGCGCCTGACTCTACAACTTCCATTGAAGATTTGTTTTAACTCCCCAGGAAGTTTAACTTCATTGATTCCCATGCTGAGAGTGTCAGGGTGACAGAAGCTCTTAATGCAGACAGCATGATGGACTGATCTCTAAGGCTGTACTTTGATTCCCTCTCAAAGAAAAGCTCACCGTCTTTGGTGCAAGACAAGAAACAAATTATCCCAGTACCTCCTATTCTTTCTTTGACCCTTTTTTTGTGAAGTTCTGAGATGTGTACTTTTTTCTATTTTCAAGAGAAAAATATATGTTTTTTAGTAGGGATGTGCCCGAAGCTGAATACCTTATTCGGAAAGGCACGGATAATGACTTCAAAATGACTTCAACCAATTTTTGAGGAATTAAGCCAAAAATAATGAGAAAAATACAAAGAACCTTTTAAAATAGCCAACAAAACTTCTACCCTACCGCAATGGGCCGGATTTGCCCCGGATTGGAGTGGAACTCTGGGAACAAAAAGTGCGTGACAGCGAGGCATGATGGGTCATTAGTGGTGTGTGTGTGTGCGGACAGGTGGAGGCCGAGCAGGTTTTCATATATACATGCATCTGGAGACGACCTCCTCCAGCTCTCAGGAGGATATAGGGAATAATAGAGACACAAGATGAAGTCCACAGCTCCTTCATTAAGGACTCCAGCAGAGCGAAAATGAGGCTGTTCTTTTAACTCAAGAGGATGGACTTTAAATTAAACAGCATGATAATGCATAGGCCTTTCTGCATACCTCACTAGGAGATAGAAGGACAACTGCAATGAAAAGTGTGGCTGAATTTGTTAGATTGAATTATTAGGAACATGTTCATGTTCAAGAGTCTTTCTAAATCACAATTAAATTTAACTAGAGTCCATACACACTTCCAATGATTCATTTTTCAACATGGAACTGAGAAATCTTGTGACGCTAGTTCATGCGAGGTCACGGCAGTACAGAGGAAATGCATTAGTTTTCCTGTCTTATAATCTTGACTGCTGTTATCTTTAAAATAAATAAATAAAAAATAAAAACTACATATATTAACACAATATCGTTCAAAAGTTTGGGCTCACTATAAGATTTTTTTATTTATTATTATTTTATTCGGCAAGGATGCATTACATTAATAAAAAGTGTCAATAAATGGATTTATATTGTTACAAAAAATATATATATTCAGAATAAAAGTTGTTATTTCCTGAAAAAAGTATTACTTTCCAAAAAAATATGAAGCAGCACTCTATTATCAACATTGAACTCTATTATTATCAACATTGAACTCTATTATTATCAACATTGAACTCCATTATTATCAACATTGAACTCAATTATTATCAACATTGAGCTCTATTATTATCAAGACATTGAACTATATTATTAACAACATTGAACTCTATTATTATCAACATTGAGCTCTATTATTATCAACATTGAACTCTATTATTATCAACATTGAACTCTATTATTATCAACATTGAGCTCTATTATTAACAACATTGAACTCTATTATTATCAACATTGAGCTCTATTATTATCAACATTGAACTCTATTATTATCAACATTGAACTCTATTATTATCAACATTGAACTCTATTATTAACAACATTGAACTCTATTATTATCAACATTGAGCTCTATTATTATCAACATTGAACTCTATTATTAACAACATTGAACTCTATTATTATCAACATTGGACTCTATTATTATCAACATTGAACTCTATTATCAACATGAACTCAATTATTATCAACATTGAAATATATTATTATCAACATTGAACTCTATTATCAACATTGAACTCTATTATTATCAACATTGAACTATATTATTATCAACATTGAACTCTATTATTATCAACATTGAACTCTATTATTATCAACATTGAAATCTATTATCAACATTGAACTCTATTATTATCAACATTGAACTCTATTATTATCAACATTGAACTCTATTATTATCAACATTGAACTCTATTATCAACATTGAACTCTATTATAATCAACATTGAAATATATTATTATCAACATTGAACTCTATTATTATCAACATTGAAATCTATTATCAACATTGAACTCTATTATTATCAACATTGAAATATATTATTATCAACATTGAACTCTATTATTATCAACATTGAACTCTATTATTATCAACATTGAACTCTATTATACTCAAAATTTAACTATTATTATCAACATTGAACTCTATAATTATCAACATTGAACTCTATTATTATCAACATTTAACTCTATTATTATCATCAAAATTTAACTATTATTATCAACACATTAAACTCTATTATTATAAACACTGAACTCTATTATTATCAACATTGAACTCTATTATCATCAACATTGAACACTATTATTATCAACACATTGAACTCTATTATTATCAACATTGAACTCTATTATTATTATCAACATTGAACTCTATTATTATCAAGGTTAAACTATTATTATCAACATTGAACTCTATTATTATCATCAAAATTGAACTATTATTATCAACACATTGAACTCTATTATTATCAACATTGAACTCTATTATTATCAAAATTGAACTATTATTATCAACATTGAACTCTATAATTATAAACATTGAACTCTATTATTATCAACATTGAACTCTATTTTTATCAAAATTGAACTATTATTATAAACACATTGAACTCTATTATTATCAACATTGAACTCTTATTATCAACATTGAACTCTATTATTATCAAGGTTAAACTCTATTATTATCAAGGTTGAACTCTATTATCAACACTGATAATAATCAGAAATGTTTCTTGAGCATCAGATCCTCATATTAGAGTGATTTCTGAAGGATCATGTGACACTGAAGACTGGAGTAATGATGCTGAAAATTCAGCTTTGATCACAGGAATAAATTACACTTGGAAATATATTAATATATATTTGTTTTCTAAAAATCTTCTTTCAAAATGAAAAAAAAAAAATCACATTCACTACAAACTTAATAATTTATGATTATATGATTGCCAGGAATTTAGATGACATGATTTAGAAAAATAAAAAATAAAAAAAGAAAGAAAGAAAGAAACATTATAACAAAATAAAAATATTTCACATTTCACAACTATTTCTAGATCACCAATAAAACAAGTAAATTAATTGATCATATGAACTCATGAGAACATCTTATTCACATTGTTCTGAAAATATAATTTGTAGTACAAAAACATTATTAAATAGAATAGAAATAGAAGCAATCTCACTCTCAGCCACCTTCATTTCATGTAAAACAATTTTATTTTAAATGTACTGTATAAACTGTATGTATAGTTCATGCGAGGCGTGAACTATCACCTCGTGGCGCAGTGGATGGGACACATGCCTTTGGTGTGAGAGACCCGGGTTCGAATCCACTGTGAGACACCAATGTGTCCCTGAGCAAGACACTTAACCCCTAGTTGCTCCAGAGGCATGTGACCTCTGACATATTTAGCAATTGTAAGTCACTTTGGATAAAAGAATGAATCGTCAGCTAAATGAATAAATGTAAATAAATAATTGTATGTATTGGAGGCTGAACAACAAAAACAGGCACAGCAAGATAAAACGAGAGAAGCTTGTACAAAATGCTGTTGTTATTTCTCAACAAGCTCTCCACAGATTACACAATCTATGTGGAGCAGTACCTGTCTCTGAACGATGGCCAGACTGTCCCGGGCCTTCTTCAGAAGCTCCTCCACAGCTTTCGGATCTCCCACGGTCCGGTTCTCCCTGAACGCATCTCGCACCCTCCGCAGAGCGTACGTCCTACAGAAACAAAACAGATCACTCGGCTTTTAACGTGTGCTAGCTCATGTAAAATTGTGGGGTCCAAATTTCTGCAAAATTTCAAGGCAAAGAAACTTGTGTAAAAGTCCCATTACAATCAATACAACAAAGACTTGAGCTCATGGTTGCCTCACGCTTGAGTTTTTGTTAACACTATCAGTTGGGTGCTACGCTATTTCAAACATGATACAGCATTAGCGTTTTAGCTCTACTCACAAGGCATGTGATGTCCGAACTGCTGAAATACAGTCAACAACATGTTTCATTGTTTCCTTTCAAAGCAATGAAACGTGCAACATAACACAGTGCAACGCAATATTATTGTGTAGAAATGTCGCCACAGGCACACAGAAGTCTCTTTCCAAGCAAGCAGCTTTCTGTTGATCAAGACCACACATATCTGTGACCAACTTGAACATGTTGTAAAATCTATTGTGGGAAAAGTTGTTAGCAAAACGTGGATTTCAAACATGAAATCTGGACATAGACTTTATTCCAAAATTGAAAGATCACAAGAACCACTGCAAGGTTTTGTATATATATATATATATATATATGAAGAGTTCAGATGCAAAAGCCTCTAAGTGTCATTTGAAATTTTCTTCTAAAATGATCATTTTTATCAAGCTTGTATATTTTAGTTCAGTAATTTCACTTAAATGGCAATGATAATTACCTATTAATTGTCATTTAAGTGAAATTACTGAACTTAAATATACAAGCTTGATAAAAATGGTCATTTTAGAAGAAAATTTCAAATGGCATTTAGAGGCTTTTGCATCTGAACTCTTCATATATATATATATATATTGTATATATAAATACACACACACATGCATGTATATATTTAAGAAATATTTGCATGCATATACTTTATATATATTTATACAAAATTAATATTATACATAAATATAAATATTTGATATATTAATACGACATTTTTCTTAAATACTGTATATACATGCATATGTGTGTATTTATATATACAAAATAATTATACACACTACACACACATACATTATGTAAACACAAACATTTATTTTGGATGCGATTAATCGCGATTCATCGTTTCACAGCCCTAGATTAGTTTTACAATCTCTTTATGAAGTTTTTGAAAGTTCATCAAAGTGGTAGTTGTGTAGCTGGAGGAACAGAAACATCTCAAATTTCATCCAAAAGATCTTCAGTCTTACGGGTTTGGAACGACATGACATGAGGGAGAGTAATTTTCATTTTTGGGTGAACTATCCCTTTAAGAAATGAGATCTGACTGACAAGGATGCAATGAGCCCTTCACACCAAACAGCGTCGCTGACGGTAGAGACAAACTCAGTCACATTTCTTTCGGATGACAGAGTTCATTAGCGCCGGTGCTGTGTGTGCCACATGCTAATAATGCTGGAGCCATTACTAAGCTGTAAGGTGCACTTCTGGAGAGTGTGAGGCATCTCCAGCCTTTTCATCTGGAAACACGAGCCGTGTGATTCAAACGAAGGCCTCAGTGCCACGCCAAGATCAAAGTTTCGCCTGGCACCCGAGGAACCACCAACCAACACGCTCTGACAGCCAAATCCAAGCCTCCCACCGTTTCATGGGATGAGGAAGGGAAAGGCCGAGAGGTGAACGAAAATTTGCAAATAATGGGAGAAACCCACAGAGAAAGAGACAGACTGAGAAGCACACTCACGTGGAAGCTAAAACATCTTAGATCATACACTAAAAAAAACAACAGATGACAGATGCAAAATTGTTTCTTGCGAAGAAAAAGGGGCAGTTGCTATAAAGAGCGAGTCATCTTTAGAAATATCACAGTGACAAACACTTCAAAGGAGTCAGAAATGAGCAGCCGGCTTTGAAGCACACATCATGTGCCTTTCAACAGGCTCGTGTGTAATAACTGAGACAAATCTGAGGTCAAAACCACACACAACACAAGTAAAACGTGTATAAATAAATCTATACACTTTCTGATAAAACACATTATTACTCAATATGGGCTTGCATGTGGAATAAAATAAGCTACACCTTATGAAACACGTTGAAGTAGCCATAAAATACACTTTTTGTAGATGAAAACGAGTTATGATTACAGGAGAAGCATATTGATTAATAAATACCTTAATTTGTAATATCTCACACGATACAATGTTACGACCTAAAAATACTTTTATCATACAGTGCATGATTTGTGAACTAATACATTTAGATTTTTTCATCACATAACATGCTCCATATGTTGGGCTTTTCTTGACGCGCTTTTAGCACCACTCACTAGACAATTCACTCTGAAAGTGACGCAACGAAACGCGAAGAAGCAATGCAATATCGTTTCGTAGAAATGTCACCATTTGCGAAGAAAAGATGTGCGAAGCTACCAAATTTATTTATAATGATATGAAAACAAGTACGGTAGTGTACTGTATACATACTGCTTCATTGTCTGTTTTTAAAGGAATTCCGTTTTTGTCAAACGGCGCCCCCTAGAGTCACTGTGGAGAACTTGTATTTAATGTTACTGTTGTAAATACCACTCACGCAGAGCGTCTGCCATAGACTGGTCTCTGCACTCACAGCCTGATACCCCTGTGAACCTGTTATTTTAAGGTACACATCTTGCAGTGCGCATTTATTGTATTAAATAAGATACTTAGCGTTTTTGTTAGTTAGTTTAGTTTTTGAACTCAAGCTGAGCGCTCGTGTCCGCTGATATCAATGTCGTGGATGCATAGTGTCTCTTGTGGCTCGCGCAGTCTTCACTCGGACGCGCTCTTCAATCTATCGCAGATGCGGAGACTCTCTATTCATCACAAAATAAAATGCACAAAAACGTGTCCCTGCTTGATATAGACTGTAACCACTGATGAACATATTCAGTTTTGATGAGAGAGAAAAAAACTTCGAACCCGTAACCTCCGAAACGATTGGCAAAAGATCTCCCTCTAGACAATTAAATGAGTATTTAATTTTAAAAAAAAAAAAAAAAACATTGAATCTTCGAAAACGAAACAAATCTATTTTTCCGAGTGAATTCGTTCATTGAATGAACCAAATGACATGAAAAAAAGGATTTGTTAATTTTGATAAACGAGTTCGAACAGGAGAGTTACGAACGTGCGTCTCAGAACAGAGCAAGGCGACCATTTTTTTTATTTTTTATTTTTTTTAAATGAGCGTTCGTTTCGCTTGATAAGACCCTTATTCATCATCTGGAAGCGTTCAAAGCCCTTTGAACAGTTTGCACTGAAACTGTCTTTTGGACCTTGAACCGTTTGGTTCCCATTGAAGTCCATTATATGGAGAAAAATCCTGGAATGTTTTCATCTTCATTTCTTTTCGACTGAAGAAAGAAAGACATGGACATCTTGGATGACATGGGGGTGAGTAAAATATCAGCAAACATTTTTTAAAAGTGAACTACTCCTTTAAGAAGAAACAAAACTTGCGGATCGATGCATGTATTTATGGCTTGAGCAGAGCGGCTCATTCTCTTTTCCTTTTCCTAGTCTCTACCGACCGCATTTCCTTTGCTTTTTCTATGAGTTTGTTTACAACCGAAATGACGCTGTGAAGCTGTTATATTAAGGGTACAATTCTTGCATACTGTGCCTTTAATGTGTATGTGTCCCGCTCAGTCAAAACAAACTTCACGAGGCGTTAGTGATAGTTTTCATTTGGCCTCTAGAGGCCGCTCTCGTTCTGTATGATGACAGCCGAAATATCGGTATGGATATTTGCGGATATGTTGTTCCAACAGTCAGTTATCGTGGCAAAACCGATCAATCGGTCGACCTCTCCACATGTAATGTTAGTCAAGCTTCACATTCTCCAGAAAAACTAAATTTTAAGATTTAAGATTTCTAAATGACCTTGAGGTGCACGTTAAAGATTTTTTTTTTTTTGCTGGGCTGGGTCTTTTATATTTGGCATTTTCACTGAAACTGCTAGCTGATTTCACTCAAGTCTCTTAGCATTTTGCTAAGCTAACAGCTTGATACTCCAAGCACAGAAAATAGATTTTTAAAATGCAAATTTTGGGTGAACTAGAACATTTAGACTTTGGGCTCTTTGGACTCATTTTAAGAGCTTATTGCAATGCATGGTTTCCTTTTCTGTGAAGGTTATGATGCCTAGCATTGCCAAAACAAAAGATTGGCATGATCATAGGCCTTCAAAAATAACATTCAGACACTTTTGTTTGCATGGAAAGCAAATGTTCAAATCAACATTACAATAGAATAAAGGGCTTTGTATACGTTTCTATATAAAGTAAAGCCATCTTGGCTCAACAAATACTTCAGTTTACATCACTTCCCATTACATCACATACTCGGTTAATAATAAACCACTCATTTCATCCCTTCGAGGCAACAGCTGATAGATATTTTCAGCATTTTCAGCCATCTGGCTTTAAGGTCATCAACAAGACAAAGCATTTGTCAAGAGGAAAACAGAGACCGATCTGTAGATCTGTGGTGAGTTCTGGATGGGGCCATTGGACAATTAAGCAGTTGGTCTTTGTCATCAGTGTAGGAATGGCTGAATCATCGAGCATCACGCGTTTCGAATCCTCAGAGAGACACTCATCCTCTTTGCCAAGCAGCCAGACTTAAATGTGAGCCACGATGCACGTGACAGAGCAACAAAACAATTGTGTTTTTTAAGAATGCGTCATATTGTCGGATATGGTTAAGCTGACCTTAACATAGCATCCGACTGAATGTAGTGGGTGGGAGCGTGATTAACACATGGGCAGCTGAAAGAATGATATTCATGGAGATGAACAGAAACTCTCACGATCTTACGATTTTGTTCTGTAGGCGACAATTAGCGTAGCATCACCCATGGGCAGTTAAAAACACACAATTAATTCACCTCACCAACACAACATATGAGTAATAATAGGCATCTAAAAGAACATAAAACAACTTGTTTCATGGTTCTGTGAAGTGGAACCAATTATAATGGCTTAATATTTAATG